CGCGTACTGGAGTATCCGTGTCAGCGAGCGGTGGTGGGGAGCCGCCTCTTTCAGCTCTTCCTTCTGTGCGAACGTGACGGATCGAATGTGCTTCCTGCGCCTGATTATAGTGCTGTGGCCGTGGGGCCCCTGAGAAGCTGCTTCGCTCTGCCTCGTGGCCAGGGATAAATTGCTGCCGGGAGAAGTCAGAAGCTTGCTAGTGTAGAGGAACTATGGGAGGATAACGGCTTTGAAGGCAGCTTGCTCCAGTGAGCTTTCTCTGCGTGACTGAAGGGAGAGCAGAAAAGAGAGAAAGTTTTTCACTGGACTTAAGACATGAAAAATCCTGCTTCTGCTATACTACTACAGGATTAGGCTGCTCTCTGTTATATTAATTTGGCAAGTTAACGTCTTACAGCCTTGCCGTCCCTCTCCCAGACTTTCCTGTTTGACAGTCACTGTTTAAACAGTCTTATACTACAGCTGCTTTACAAATAACTATTTTGCATTTGTGAAATGCTGTCCTTAAAAAAGGCAAAAGTTTTGTCAAAATGCAGCGTTTGCTAAAAGCAATATTAAAGCAATATTAAAGCAATATTTAAGCCCTGGAGAAATTGCTTCCTGTCAGCCCCACCTGGTTCTTCTAGAGTATCCACAAGTAATTGCTTGTTTAGGTAACTGCAGCACAGAAGCCTAAAGGTATTGCCTGCCTGGTGGTGGTCCGGATTATTTTGATAGTGGGAAGCCAGTAGGACAAAGTGCACATGGCATCGAGTGAATCAAAAGGGGATTTCAAATCTGCGTGTCCTTTTCTTTCTTCGCCCTCGGCAGAGCCCAGCGCCAGGAGGAGGCAGCGGATGGCGATGCAGGCGCACGAGCTGTTCAGGCACCTGCGTGTGCCGGAGCTGGGGGACGTCAGGCAGTACGTGCGCACCCTCCCGACAAACACCCTCATGGGCTTCGGCGCCTTCGCGGCCCTCACCACCTACTGGTACGCAACCAGGCCGAAGGCCCTGAAGCCACCCTGCGACTTGGCAATGCAGTCTGTGGAAGTAGAGGTAAGCCTCACTTGGTGGATGCTGCTGTTCACCAGACTTGGGAGCTCAAGGTGGCACTGGGAGAGACTGAACACTGATTTACAGAAGCATTTCTAAACTTGTAATGTGGGGGGGGAACATGTTTCAGGGCAGTTTTGTTTTTTCCAGAAATCTGGCTTGAACTCAGTTTTCTGAGTCTGAAAACCAGTTGGAGGGTTGAGATTATAGTGGTAGTAACTAGCATGGGAGAAGAAGAGTTGGGAAAACTGAGCTTCTGATCTGACTGGCAGGAAACTTGTGCATGTTAGAACTGGCGCAGTGTAGTTTTCAATTCCTGGCTGTGTGTTTAGGTGATGACATGAAATTAGGTCTTGGGGTCAGTATGTATGCTGGTGTATACTGGTTAGGGGAGTAATTTTCTGTTATAATACTTAGCTTATAGCAGCTGACAGGTGAGACTCTATATTGGGTTACAAGCACGAAGAGGGCACTGATTGTCCTCGAATGTTCTGTGGAAAGATCTTAGTCCTGCCAAGAGATCCCAGCCATAAAGTAAGTTGAAATTGAAGTACCTCCTGCTAAACTCTGGATATGCTAGCATAGCTTATGCTTTTTAGAAGCAGACAGTTGCTGTTAGGTGGTGTTTTTCAACAGTAATGTCAAATATGGAAACAGTCTGACTGGGAGGAACTGTTGCTTAGAAGCAAATATGGACAACTGATTACACGGCTGGGGTTTCCTGAGCAGCTGTTGTATCATTCCCTGTTCAATACAGAGCCAAGATTTTACTAATTTCATTCTTTGAAGAGTGCCTCTGTATTTCTTTGAGGTAGGCAAGGTGTTATCTCCTTTTGAAGGAGGCAGCTTTGAAAGAATGTGATCTTCTAAGGGGTTACTTGAAAAATGTAGGATTGTAAGGCTCACTGTTTCCTATATTACTCTTGGTAGTCAGAAACTACCACTACAGAATTTCTTCTATATACTTGCAACTGAGGTCTCCCTTTACAGCACATTGTTTGGTATGGTATAGACCATGTCTAGTTGTCCTGTACCCCATACAATTGATGTTACTGCTTGTGCTTAAGAGTAGATGTGACTACAAACTGATGTAAACAAAGGTGGCTGAGCCCTTTGAAAGTTCCACAGTTCACAAATGTTTAGCAAAGCAAATTCTTGTCATAGCTTCAAATTGGGCACTTTATTTCTTGTAGAATCTTCTCTTGGTGAGCTTTCCCAATGCTGGCAGCAGCCATGTAAGCAATGGGTGGGATAGTCTTGTAGAGCAGCACGTGTTGGTGGCTGGACTAAACTAGCAGTGAAAGCTTTATAGCTGTGGAAGGCCTCACTAGTCAGCATAGACTTGGAAGGTTGGAGTTGGATTGGTTTACCATTAGAAGATGGTAAAACAGTGGCTCTTAACTGGTCACAAAACCAATGACACATGCTTATTTGCTTGAAACTTTTGACAGCAGTCTCAGTTGACTTCATTTACCTCTTCAAAGTTGCTCATCACTACTGGGTTCTGTGATTGAAACCATTGTTGGGTGGTATGAGTCTTCACTGAACTAGTTAATGCCTCATTGATCCACAGAGTACTAATTAACATTAGCTCTCTGATCAGAGCAAGGTTAAGTATAACAGCATTATTTGTCATTGCCTCTTCAGAAAATGTTTTGATAGCATGACTGAATAGTAGTAAAACTGATTGATTGTAAAAAGTAGAAAAACAACTGATTGTGTTAGCATTTCTTGGTGATGAGAGCTTGAGCTTGAAAACATGGTGAAATGAGCAAGATCCACCCAGTTCTGTTTACTGACAGTTCAGATACAGCCCTTAATGTAGTGTTGTAAACTGTACCAACCAGTAATCAGGTGAGAAGGTTCTGAATCAAGTTTCAAATGTCTGTTAGAATAGGTACTTCTATAACAGTAACAGGACTGTAATAGGATGCTTGGGATTAAGTTTCTTGCTACATTTGGCTTAACTTCACTTGGCTTACTGTGTTCTTTTATACGTGTGTTAAGATTGTCACTTCTACAGAAGAAAAATAACAAATCCTGCTGTCAAATTGTCATAACATTTTCCTGGCTAAGCAATGCAGTATTAAGGTCTAGAGAGTAGGCAGTGTGCTCCAACAAAGGTATGTCAGAAGGAAATTCTATTCTTTCTTTTAATATCTAATCTAACTGTTCATTAATTATAACAATTTTGAACTACAAATAAGCTTCTGCTTAAGTCTTACTTAAGATTTATATCTTTGGCCTCTAATAGAGCTAAATTAAGTCAGTAACTGGAGTAAGTTTTCTACATGTTCTGATAATAAATATTCCTAACTTTATATGGAATGAAAAAGATCTTATATACTGTTCTTCCAGGTCATTTCCCATCTCTGGAAAGCTTTGATTGGGTAGGCCAACACCCAGTGGCCCTCTTGAAGAATCACTGAATAGGCATAAAGATTACATGCTTAGTTGAGTGTGGGTGCAAAGAGTTACTGAAAGTATCAGCTGTTTTAGAGTAGGTGCCACAATTAATATGTGGAGTATGATCTTTAAAGTATGCCTACTACAGTTCCATTTCACTGAAAGAAACTGTCTTGTCTTCAAAGCTCACAGCCTGATCTCTCTTCAGGGGAACTCCTCAGAGGTACAGGTGAAAAGTCCTTCAGGATCCACTTGAATCCCTTCCCTGTAGGAGGGGGGACAAGATTAATGAAGAGTAATTCTAAATAAGGTCTGACTAGTGAGACTCATGCTGTGCTCAATCATGCGATGTATTGTTCAGAATTAGTGCTACAGTAATGGTAGAAATGAGGCATTAGTCCTGTTGAGCAAAGCTGCTGCACCTTTGATACCTAGTAGTAGGCACAGTCAAATTAAGTCTTGCTTTAAAAGCCCAAATATTCCTGTTGGGATCAAGTTCTGCTAAAGCATGTAGGAGGATGGGATATAAATAAACTAGCCTGTCAGTGTTTTCTAGTAACAAGAGTTTGGATTTTTAAGTCTGGCTTTTTACTCCCTTTAAAAGACATTCAAATATGGAGAGAGGTATTGAACTCATGAGAACTTTTAAACCTATTTCCTTTCTCCTGATACACTACTAGACCTCTAGCTTGCCTTGTCTATCAAGAATCACTTGGTGAGATGTGTGCTTGTTCCCCTGTTAAGACACCAGTTTTAGCTGTTGTGTGCTTACCTAGGGATTAGCATGCTTAAAATTATATCGCTGGCTAGAAATCTCTAGTTTCTACTTCCTGCTGCTCTGAGTATGCATGTCGATGACCTAAGCACCACTTGCTGGTGTAGGCACCCTCTCAGGAGAACAAATTATATCTCTTGCCTCTGAGGCATGGTGGAGCCAGGTCTGCTTTGATGTTACTGCTAATCCTAAGCAGCCTGTGCCAACAAGAAGCAAACCTGTGGCTTGAACAAAAGCATTTCTTTTATGTGACCTGAATAGGCATTGATAGAGTAATATGTGCCTCTGCTGTAGAATAAGACTGTTTCCCTCAGCTGCTGCTCTTCTGAGCCAATGACAAAGTTTTAGTCCATGTCTAGCACTTGCTGTGTAAAGGGTCAGTTGCCTGTAGCTCCAGGCCTGAGCTGCTGCAAGCCTACATACATGAGTAACCAGAGGCTGTTCTCACATTAAGAAGACTTTATTGCTAGGCTCCTTAAGAATTCTCTGGTAAAACTGACAACCTTTTTGACTGCTTGCCTTTGTACTGGACAGACCCGTTAGATTCCATTCAAACAACTTGTGTGAAAACAGGCAAACATTCCAGTCCTGAGATTCAGATGTTTGTTTGTAATGACCAGTGTTTTTTAGAAAACTTCGCTGAGAACAGAACTTTCCCTGATACTGCACAAATAGTCTCAATAAAGGGCCCTTTGGACAGGCTCTTAAAATACAGTTCTTGCTAGTCTCAAGCAAAATGTAGACCAACACCATAATACAGACTAGTAGATGAGCTCAAACTGGGAGCATAAGGTCGGGTCTAAATGATCTTTGGCATTTCTAAGTGTATTTCACTGCAGTTTTGAAGGAATAACATTGAGCTTGTGATGGTCTTCAGCACAGAGCTAAGTGTTTTTCAGCAAAACTTGCTCTAGGGCTGTTGAAAATTCAGTTAATTTCACTTTACTTTGGGAAGAAGAATAAAGTAGGCAGAACCACAATTTGTTTCCCTTTACTGAAAGCTCATGAGACCTTGTGGGGTCTTTTAAATAGTCTGTTCCTGTTTCTATTTTTCAGAAGGATAGTGCAGTCAGGCTTCTATCTAATCAGTGTGCTGCCTGTCTGATAAGTCTCACCCTCACCTTTGGTTAGTGCCTCGGGCCTTGCAAAAACTGCTTTTATAGTGCTGAGTAATAGGGTGTGTGAAGAAAACAGTAGTAGCTCTGATGAGAAGAAAAAATGTTTCTTGGCGGTTGCTGAGGAAGGGCTTGGGCTACTATATTTCACCTGGAGCAGGAATTGTAGCACATCAAACATGGTAGTGATAGATTATGCTTGTTGAGATTACCTGTGAATGTGGTTACAAACTACACTGTGTGGTCTTCCCCAGGTTAGCTCCAGAGGTGGTAAATCTGAGGAATCTAGAAGCTGACCTGGGTTATCCAGGATCTGTGAGACCAGTGCATTAAAGCAAGCAATCTTGCTTTGAGACATGTGCTAGTGATCTGTTCATTTCCTTTAGAGTAGATGTTGGTCTGAATGAAAGTATGCTCTTGTTTCTTTTTCTAATGTTACGAATTTGTAGAGGTAAGCCAGTCATTAACTTGTTCTGGATCATGATCACAGTGTTTCAACTTACTGTCAAAGGTGTGGCAAGCACTGCATTATGCACAGCATTTTGCTAAAACAAGTTAGACTTGTTTTAGTGTTAAAATTTTTTTTCCTCTGATGTGCCTTTAATATGCTTTTCTGTGGACATGGTTAACAACATCTTCTGCACATAACCCTGTGTCTGTGTACCTCATACGTGAACAGATGCTCTCTGGTATTCCAGGTGCTTTATAAACAGGAAGAGAAACCAGTGTCTGGGAATACTTGGCATTGTGAATAATGGCACAGTTTTGGCACAGATTTAGTTATTTCAAGAGCTGACTTTGAAAGCATCAGGAGTTGACTGTGATCACCAATAGCAACTCTTGAGCAATGTTTATGCAAGACTTTCCTGTGTCACCAGTGAGGCTTTTCCTGCTAAGAGCTTGCTTGTAGTTGTCTGTCATCATAGCAGGACTAATAAGTATGACCTAGTAGTACTTGCATAACTGATTTGTGAAACTTGATTGATATAAAATGGGATGATCTAATCACTCTGAAAAAGACTGTTAAAACAGTGAACTATTAAATTCTTGTGTTAACTTCCAATTGTAGACTATAAATACTGACCTGCTGAAAAACAGTGATTTTAATCCTTAAGGCAGATTTGTCTTGACTGCTTCTAGATCAGGAGGAAACAATTTCTGGAAGATGGAACTTTAAATTCAATTAAAGGACTCAGTTTATCTGGAACAGTATTTTAGTTATGAGAACACTTAGGGTGTTGTTACCCAGCCTTAAAATCATTCAGGCTTTGAAAGCACAGTTTGAATTGTGATGATGCTTTGCCATCTTAATTGGAAAAGCAGATTAGAATCTCAGCATTAATACTGTGTCTAGAGAGCTCTGAGGCTGGAGTGATTTGGAAAACATGATGGAATTAGTTATGCTGCATACTGCAATGAAGTAAAACATTTTTGAAGGTAAACCCTGTGTCTAGTAAGGAGTGTCAAAGGGCACTTTGTCATTCTGCTTTGTTATGTGCTGTCATAGGTAGCTGAGGAAGATGATTTTGCCTGAGAGGTTTTTGTAAGAGGGACCAGTCTGACTTTATAAACAGTGTTCTAGTACTTCTTGCAGAGCTCTCACTTGAGGGTGGAAAAAAAACCCTGACGCTCTCTCAAGCAGAATTTGCCAAGGCTGACAACAAAACACTTACTGGATGAGGTGTTTTTATTCCCTCAAGAACTTCCTGTTAATTCCTAACACCAACAATTGTGTCTAACCTTTCTAAATGTTTTTTTTAGGGTAGTGAGCATGCTCGAAGGTCCTCTCTTCTTCACAGCGATGAACCGCTGGTTTACTACTACGATGATGTCAGAACAGCTTATGATATCTTCCAAAGGGGTTTGCAAGTATCAAGTAAGTCTAAAATTAAAACTACTTTTCAGCAATGTATCAAGAACTAAAGATCTGGACTCTTGAAAGTTGGGGATAGGAGGTGTCTACCTAGCAATAAGTTAAATGTGTATGGGATGTGAACTTTCTTGAAGGCAACCTTAACTGTGACCTCTTGTGAAGCAGGGTCATGTGGATGAAGTAAGTCACTGATGTGTTCCTTAGCCTAAACCTCTGTCCTTCCCCAGCTTTCCTCTCTGCCACTCTAAAAAAGTTTTATCTTCTGAAGGTGTCTGCAAAGAACCTAGAGGTTTAACACAGTCGAGTTAGTGTGTTGTCAGGACAGGAGTCAGGGTTAAATTTTGAGTACCTTTTGATTTATCTTTTCTAGATAATGGCCCATGTCTAGGTGTTAGAAAACCAAACCAGCCATATGAGTGGATATCCTATAAAGAGGTGAGTAGCCTCTCTAATTTAATGCTAGACCTGCTTTTGCTTGCTGAGACCATTGTTAGAAGATCCAGTGATATAACAGATCTTAATTATTTAGATGCTTTAAAGTAGCAGCAGAATATTGCAGAAAGGTTGTAGTTTGTATTAAAGTATTTTAAAGGAACAACCTCAGATATGTGCAATGGAGAGATAGTATCTCCTCTGCTTACTTGGTTTATGAATTGTTTTATTTCAGAGTTTATCTTGGCAACTTTTATCTTCTTGCTGAATTGTTTAGAACTTGGACACTGCCTCTGAGGGCCGCAGCTTTGAAGTAGTATTCAGGAACTCAGACTGCTGCTACTTTAGGTGCTTGCTTCTGAGAGGCTCATTTTACACTAGGAAAAGTCCTGTATCTACTGATGTTATTTGTGCTTCTTGACAATGTGTCTCCATCCTACTGAATAAGGGTTATATAGAGTGCTAACAGATATGCTTCCAACTAGTAGCATGCTCCTTCATGATTGCTAAAAATACCTTTATGCAGGTCTTTTAACAGCTGTGCACTTTTAGGTCATTCCTGATTTAATCACTTATTCTCTTCAAATTTGCTTAAACCTTGTGTATTGCATACTGTTAAGGTTATTATACACATTTTTTTATGGAGCTGATCTCACTTTTTCCAAGGTGATTTTGCTGGACACTTGTTACGTGCAACCTCTCCTTAATAAAGCTTTGATGTTTGAATTATGTGACTAACACAGATTCAGGTCATGTGCTATATGGAAAGAATTTAGAAAGTTGCCTTCCCAAACGTTTTGTAGAGCTAGCTGGGTTTTGCCTCCTTTACTCTCCCAGTTTTTGAAGGGAGAGATGTTGTTCCCATAGGCACCAAGCAAAGCAGAAGGATGGCATATGTAGTGCTTGTGACTGAGCAGAAATGTAATGCTGAGTCATGCCAGGGTCTCTTCTGGGGTTTAATACAGATACAACAAACCAGCTTCTCTCTGGATGTGAGTGTAACATGAAAACTTTACTCTTTCAAGTCCAAGTGGATTAAGTGTCTTTTCTGCTGCATATGGAGTGCAACTGTAGCATCTACAATCAGTGCAGTGTAATAGCACTGCCACATTTAGGTTTTCAGTCAGAGGACATCCATAATAGCCTAGAAAACTTCTGTCTGCTTCATACCAGTTATTAACTGCTTTTGGTAAGATGGATGGTAAAATAATGTTGAGGGGTGTGTACTGATGAGCCTGCTCTCAATTTTTTTTGTCTTCTCTCTTTTGCCCTTCCAGGTTTCAGATAGAGCTGAGTGTGTGGGCTCTGCGTTACTCCACCGAGGCTTCAAACCGTCTCACACTCAATATATAGGCATCTTTTCACAAAACAGACCTGAGGTAATTCAATTGGCAGTGTGTGTCTTGGTGGTCTAGCTAGTATTGAAGTGGACCTCTCTTATATCTGTTGCTTTTTGGCCGTGTACTAACGTTCCCTACCACGAGTCCATTTGATGTTAGGAAAAGGCTAAAGGCTGATGTCAGACCCACAAGCCAAAGACATGGCATTTTTAGCTAAGAAACAAAACTGCTAATTGGCACAACTGTTAGTGTATTATTATTGTGGTTTTGTGTGCTTGTGGTTTTTTCTCCCAGACCTGAATGCAGAAGGAAGAGAATCAGGGAATCCATAAGAACTTAACCAATTCTGTTCTCTTTCTAGTTCATAGAGGAGGCCTGTTTAATGGGAAGCTAATGCAGAACTTAGTGAATGTAATCACTATTTGCTTTCTCTTAAAGTGACATTGGAGTACAAGGTAATTGAAAGTGGTTGGAAGTCACAAGGAGGTGTTTAAAGCCTTCAAAACCCAAATAAACACTTACTGATTAAATATTTAGGTGAATAGAAAATGGCTAAAGGTGATAGAACTCTCTCTGACAGAGGCCCTGGGCACAAAGATTCTGGGAAGGAGAACTGCTGATGAAGGCAAAAATAGAAAATTAACAGCAGTTTATTTAAAGGGGCAGTGAGACAAAAGAAAATCACACAATTAAAAAGGATTCCCTGGCAAAGAAATTATGAGCTCTAGGAGAACTAGGGGAATACTTAGATATCTAGATTAGTGTCTGTCCATTTTAACCCAGAAGTGCTTCTAGCTTGCTGTTTCTAATTATTTACTGGATATTTCATAATGGTTTTAAATCTATTTAACAGAACTGGATTTTGCTAACCTATTATGTGCTTGGTAGCTTGAGACAGTACTTGTTGCTTTAAGCTAGTTCAATCCCAACCTGTGTTAAGACAGGAGACTGGTTCGTGAGATTTGTCAAAAATATCCTCTTGATATAAAAACTCCCAGTTGTTATCTAGAGCCATCTACAGTGTTGACAGAGAAGTTCTGTCGTTGTCTCTATCCTGGACAACAGCTTGGTGTTGGATCTCTTCTAATTTCAGTTTGTCACCAAGTCTTGCCTGCTGTCATTAAAATGTGAGCTGTGTGACAAGTGACTGTGACCCCTTTCCTCCTCTTCCAACCTCCACCACAAAACCCCCTAACTCTAGCCTTGTAGAGGCGAAGAAAAACTTTTTTTCCAGGCTCTTAAATCTGCAGTAGTTTGCTTGGTTTTTCCTGGTGAAATTCTGGTTCTAACAGCTACAGTTTAATTTCTGCAATGAAGTCTGGGGTAGTTCCAATGAAGAAGCTGTTAAATGACACGTTACAGCCTCTTGAGTTGAGTCTCCTGTGCTTATGACATTATGAACTGGAAGTAAAAAGGGGAGATAGATGTCAGTTTGAATTGTCTCTACAGACCTTTGGGTGTGAACTGTTTGGCTGCGGGGTTAGTGAGTTTTCTGAAGGAGACCACGGTAGTGTGGTCTGCTTCTAGTTCAGAGACAAAATGTGCTTGGCCTGCATTGCTCCAGCAGGCTTTGAGTTGGGTCAGGAATGGCCTGGAAAGGCTTATTTAAACCAGCAATTTTAAAGCTGGGGTTTTCCCTGCTGAAAACTACTGGATGGGTGTTGTGACATCCCCAACATAAGCACTAATCCAGACAGGAGATCGTGAAGTTTTTTTGTGTGAAATGATTCACATTTGTTAGCTCAGGGAACAGCTGCTGGGGAAATCCCCTAGTGGGGAAAATCCTAGTATATTACTTGCTTAAATATTCACTTAAAAAAATTAAACTTGGATTTATAAATAAAAACTTTACTTTCTGTTTGAGTAACTGGAGAACAGATGATCTCTTCTGCTGGCAGGGAAGCTGTATTTTGGATTGAGCAAACAGGACAGTGAAATATAGTGTCCCTTGCTAGTTCAGTCATGTCAGAAAACAAACTGACACTTTCAGTCTGTCTGTATTTAATACCAGTTGCTTGCTTGAGCCCTGAGAGAACTCAGATGTCAAGGTTTGTTATGTGTATTTAACTACTCTAAACTTTAGAAGCTAAATGGAAGAATGTCTTCTTTCCATAGTCCAGAAAATAAAGATGCTGTTTGTACTGAGAATGATGGTGTGTGAGTGCTGTTGGAGGCTGCAACAGGGAGCTTTTAGCACCATATGCAGCTTCTGAAGTCTACTGTAGTAGGTCCTCATCCTCTTAAAATAACTACTAAAGTTCAGGCTGCTGAATAGCAGTACAGCTGGCATAGGTGTGCCTGTGTAGACTTATCAGTATGTCTAATGTCTGCATGAAAATCTAGTTACCTGTTTGCTGCTGGCCTTGTGCTAATTTTATAAGAAGTCTTTTTGGACAAAAGGTGTATAACTTGCCTGTTGCATAAATGCTTTCAGGGAATTTTTCTGAGTTTAAGGCTGTTTTATTCAGTAGAGAACTTGGTGGAGGAAAATTGCCCCTAGTAAAGTTCATAAAACAGATTTAGCAACTTTGTTAACATGACCTCTATTTGATATTGTATGGAATAACCAGCTGAATGATGCTTGAACTTGTCATTGTACAGGGGTGAGGTAACTGGCTAGTGTCCTGCAAAAATATTGGAAAGTGTGACAGTTTAGGGGTGGGGAAGGGAAACAAGCACCCTTGTTAATGCAGTCCTTCTTGAATTGTAAGTTCTGGTGACTTCTGAAGATGCATGTTTTGCTCCTGTAACTGGAACTGACTAAAGGTACTGTGTCAGAGAAATTTTGCCATTCAACTTCAGTGGGAAAACCCCAAAATGTTACAGTTCCACTGACTTCTTTCTTCATTTCAGGAGTCACATGCTACCCTGTAACTGGTGTAGCTAGTAGCTATTTGGCATAGCTTGTAAACAGCAATCTGGAAAAAGAATTGCATTGCTATCTTATCTTGATGGTACTTTGGATGAAATCAGGCTTGCTGTAAAGCATCATCAGCTTGCATCATACAATATGGCTGCAATACCCATTCTGAGTACTGCACTTGTTAGCAGGCAAATCCTTCCTATTGCAGCTTGCAGGGATGCAGTTGTTTCTTCTACAAGTCTTCAGATTAGATTCTCTTAAACAATGTTAGTCCTGAGAAATGGTGAGAAACTTTCTGGGGCTGGCTTTCCAAAGGACTTCTAGTTTAACTGCGTAGGTTGCGTGCATGATATGCAGGCAGTGTAAAGGTAAGAATACTGTGTATGCATATTTAACGGGTGTCAAGATGTGAGCAAGACCATCACTGATTCTTGTACCATGGTAACTGAATGCTGAAGGCTTTGGCTACCTTGATAACATAAAACCAAGAAAAAAAAATATACTCTTACTCAATGTCTTTCTGTTAATAGGTAAACTAAGGGGACAGTTAATGTTGGCTGTTAGTTTAACCACGTAGGTTGCAGGCAGTGTAAAGGTAAGAATACTGTGTGTATGCATATTTAACATGTGTCAAGATGTGAGCAAGACCATCACTGATTCTTGTACCATGGTAACTGAATGCTGAAGGCTTTGGCTACCTTGATAACATAAAACCAAGAAAAAAAAATATACTCTTACTCAATGTCTTTCTGTTAATAGGTAAACTAAGGGGACAGTTAATGTTGGCTGTTCTTCAAAAGTACTTAAAATTACTTTAAGGGGCAGAGTTGAATTTTTTTATTTGGATACTTTACCATAGCTTCTTATTGTTTGTTGTTTCTTTCCTCCTTCTGCAGGTAAAAATTTAGTAGGTCTTCAAAGTAAACAAATGTTACAAACTGCCCCTTTCTTTCTTTAGGAAGACTTGTCCAAATGAGCTCTGTCCTATTAGCTTCCTTGTTAGGATCCAAATGTGAGTCTTTCTTGGAGGTCTGGTACAATAAGCAAACCTAGTGACTTGCCTGTCATCTTCTTGTGCAGTGGGTCATCATTGAGCAGGCATGCTATGCGTTCTCCATGGTGGTGGTGCCTCTCTATGACACGCTGGGAGCTGAAGCCATCACCTACATTGTGAACAAAGGTAGGACACTTTCTGTGGTTCAGCAACCGAGCCTGTGGTGGCAGAGCTGGCTGAGGGCACAACTGTAGCCTTCCTCAGAAGTCATCCATTAGGATGTTCTGAAGTACATATGGATGTAGTCTAAATTCAACTTGTCACACTGATAATGTTGTTCTTTTACCAGCTGACTTGTCATTGGTTTTCTGTGACAAACCTGACAAGGCCAAACTTCTGCTAGCCAGTGTGGAGAAGGGGGAAACTCCAGTACTCAACACCATTGTTATCATGGAGCCTTTTGGCACAGAGCTTGTGGAACGTGGCAAAAAGTGTGGGGTGGAAGTCTTTAGCATGAAAGAAATAGAGGTAAGCACACTTGACCTATTTCACTCCTTTCATCTCATTTACTTGTGGAGGAAGATGATGGTGGCTGAACAGGTCTTAGGACTGAACAAAATGTGGTGCATTAGTTTCAAAACATGTAACTGTCTTTTGGATTGAAGCTTACACAAAAAATATTTTTTAGAAATGGAAGGAAAACAACTTACTAATAGTATTTCAGTGCTCAGACTGTAAAAACACAAAATGTAAAATGCCAGGGTAACAGAATGAAAGCTTGTTAACATTGCCCAGACAGAACATCAGATCTGAGTGTTAAGGCTCTCCTGTGTGAAGCACTAACGTGATCATTATATGCTGTGGCTAGTAAGTCAGAAATACTGATTTCAAAAAGAGCCTGGGAAGTTCTGGCCTCAGAAAAATGGCATCTTCCACCCTACACTGAATCTTCAAAATATTTTCTTGGGTTGGAAGAAAATGGCAAGTAAAGTGTTCCAGGGTCAGCTTATAGTAATACATGGGAATGAGACTTCCATGTTTGGGAAGTAGAAACTGTTTTGATTAGTGACCTAATGGTCGTGTCTTGGTTTTGCTTTAGTTATTTTGTCTGTGTGGATCTCTTATGCAAGTTTATTTCATAACTTCACTCATTACGTGGAGAACTCTGTCCTGGGATCAAATTGCATGAAGTCCATCTTCACTTTGAGATTATGAAACTAGGTTTAGCTTTGTTCCAGCTGGAGTTGTGAAGGCTTGGCTCACTGGAACTGGAGTGTCTCCAAATAAGTGTGCTTGTCTTGTGCAGGTGTCAGTAAGTGGTGTGAAATAGTTCATTTCACCAAATTTGTTTTCACATCAGTCTTATGCTGTGTTGACAGGGCCACCTTCTGGTAAAGATACAAAAATGCCAGGATGCCTTTTTAAAAGACGTTAACTGTATCATACCTAAGTAGCCTCAGCAAGATGGCCAGGGTGAAATGGGGCTGAAAACATCGTGCAGAGTAACATATATATCTCATTAGCAAAAGGGTTTAGGTTAAATTTAGAAAAAGATTGTCCCAGCTGCAAGCTTGTACACTTTCCTTGAGTTGAACTCCACTATTTGACAGAGGAAGATGCTTTCCACTGGATCTTCTAGCTACAGAAAAACAAACTAGGATATGAATGTTAACTTTAACTAGAAGTTTCGAATCTTAAGTGGTGGCTGCCAGTAGTAATTCTGAGGTTTAACACTACTTGATATTTGGATTAATGCTGTATTACTGAATCACAGAATTGTTTTGGTTGGAAGAGGCCTTTAAGATCAAGTCCAACCATTAACCCAGCACTGTCAAGCTTACCCCTAAACCATGTCCTTAAGCACCAGGTCTACATGTCTTGTAAAGACTTCCAGGGATGGTGACTCCACCACTGAGCCCTGGGGAACTCTACTTGTGACCATTAACGAGTTGGATTAGGTGGATTATTAGGTGCTCCAAGAGCCTCTTTTCTAAATCTCAGAAGTTTGGGAAAACTAACTATTTCTAATAGTGTTTCAGTGAGCAGGTGTAAGTTTTGTCCCTTTAAGGGTTAGAGGATTTTAGTGTATCCAAAAGGCAACTATGCACTGTTTGGGAGCTTAGATTAGAATGGCTATTTCTAGCCTTAAGTACTTGTTTTCTGAATTTTGGGCTTAAATTTATTGTCCAGATGTGCTTTATGGGTTATGTGACCAGTTAGTGTGTATCTCCCAGATGCCATGAGCTTGGTTTCTGATGCTTAATGTCTCTGTGCTGTGGTTACTTTGAGCTGAGTAGCTGTGAGTAAATGGCTCAGTAATAGCAGGAGATGTTGGAGTTCTGTTGTAGGAGATAAAAAGTGTGTGAAGATCTTCGCTATATATTCAGGAAATACCAGGTCTGCCTTGGCTCCAGCCTGTTCTGATTATTGAGCTTCTGGTGGTACTTGAAATGCAGATCTGTTTTGAGCAGACAGCTGTGTTGTCATAGTGGCAAATCTTTATGTAATGGCACTGTCTCAAAAGGGGAACCTTGCAGGTATGGGAATGTTGACTGGAACTTGGACTGGACATTCCTTTTTCTTAAACCTCTTTGGGTAACCCACAAGGTACATCATACATATTAAAGGAAGTGTAGGGCTAGTGAAGGAATGCACAGTGCTATTGTTGTGTGCTTGGAATGTAAAGGTAATGGTGAAGTTGATGTGTCTGCCTTCAAAGGGTGCTTCCAAAGCTATACCTAACAAAAGGTCCACTTTAATTTGCATAAGTCCTTAAGCTACCATTGTTTCTGTTTTTAAATAAGCATGACAAAGTCTTGATTTGAAACTTTAAAGCTTACGGATATTGAACATAGCTTTGTAAAGTCTTGATTTGAAACTTCAAAGCTTACGGATATTGAACATAGCTTTCAAATCTTTCCTCTTAATCATTATATCCTTGATGATAAAAGGACATTCTTGGCATCTGTTCCATTCTACCTAAAGAACTGACATCATGGTGCAGGAGGCTGAATAACTGTAAGGAGGGAGACAAAGGAAGAGGCTCTGGAGTAGAGGATCTTGTGTTCTCCACTCTTCAGTATGAAGGGAGTGGAGTACAAATCACCAGTGACCCTTCATGGGGAAACTTGGTCTCCCCTCTCAAGTAGTGACATTGGTCCAAGGTGTTTAGTGAGATGAATCTTGCTTCATCTCTTCATCAGTTATCAGTGACTTCTGCATGAGTTATAGGATTAATAGCTTGTGGTGCCTTGTCATAATACTGCTTAACCTTGAGCTGCTCTGGTGAGTGACTTCTGGTCTACTAGCTGGAAAAAAAAAAACCTATGGGTTTTAGATTAGTTATCACTTTCATATTTGTAGAATATGGTAGTTACACATATATCTTTAAAATGTCCTTTAAAGCCTTTGTTACTATTTGGTTAAAATGCCTTAACAGTATAAGTAATGGAATATTTTGGTGTTTGGTAATGTTAGTGTAGTAAATTAATAGCAAGAAAGTTACATGCTTATGTCCAAACTGTCTTTTTTTCTGTAGGAGCTGGGAAGAGCACACAGGCAAAAACCTATGGTAAGTATGAAATCAATTCAAGTGACAATCTGAAACTGCATAGCATTCTATAGATCAAACTAGCAAATCTCCCAATCTCCCATAGCTCAAAAATAACACTAGTATTTCAGTGTTATGTCCAGGAAAATCTTTTTTTCCTTGCTATCTTAACCATACTAATACTTTCTTAACTCTCATAGCCTCCAAAGCCAGAAGATCTAGCAGTCATCTGTTTCACCAGTGGAACAACAGGTACACCTCATTACTTTATGCAGAATTTATTATCCTGTATGTGATTAATTCAGAAGCCCTCCTACTTTTTTTTCTCAAGACACTCCCCTGCTGCTGCATCTTTTTGGCAAGTAGTAGCTGGGGAAGTTTTATGGTAAGGCTCCCTTTAATTTTTCCCATTGATTGATAGAGTTGGAGTATTGGAGGGTAGAGGTCCTACATTTTTGGGCTTGAAAATAAGTACTGAACCTGTATTTCCATTGTAATAAAGACTTTGCATCAGACTATAGACTGTCAGTTTTTCTGCAGTCTTTTTTTGTACCATATTGGCAAAATTTGTTCCTTAGCTTTAAGCAACCTTGCTGTAAGACCAGAACAGAGACTGTCTAGATGTCACACAATTTGACATTGGTGAATTAATACCCAGCACTGGCAGGGAGCAAAAGGGAAGAGTACAACAACAAGCTACATCTTTAAAGAAGATGTGAGAACAGAAATTAGTCTAGGTTTGATAGCTGAATCTTCACAGAAGTGTTGAATTTTAAGTTGAGAGAAGCTTATCCAAGAAACATGACAATTTCTTAAGAATTTACTCTCCTTATGAAATTGGAGGACTTCAGCACAAACTTACTAAACTGTTAGCAGCTATTTTTGAAAGTGTTGGCAAGTTCTCTCCCTTTGTTTAATGGATACACAAAGATATTAATGTAAAAGAAGGGACTGATTGAAATGCTATTAGATTAGTATTTTACCACTGCTTGGTAACTTGAAGGATCTAAAAATTTCACTGTTGCTTCCTGATGTGCTTCTTTCTTAGGTAACCCCAAAGGAGCTATGATCACTCATGAAAACATAGTCAGCAATGCTTCAGCTTTTGTGAAAACTACAGAGGTAAACAGCAAAGGTCAACGTTGTGGATTTGCATGAAGGGAAGAATCTTGGGAGTAAAACCAATATTGAAACCTTATTAACTTTGATCTTACTAGAAGTTAAGACTAAAGTGAAAATGTAACTTGACAGCACTTGACTTCTGACCTAGCGTGGGCAAATGTTTACTGATTTCTTTTGTCAGGGTCAAGAACCTGACAGACTTATTTGATCTGATCCAAGCAAAAAATGCTGTAAGGATGCTCATGTGGATCCACATTACATTCTGTTACAAGCTTGTAGTTTGTCATTAGTGCAAGCTCTGTCAGAGGGTTTGTATAGAGGATAACCTTTTCCACTGAGGATGGGAGGAACTGTAATGTGTTTAAACACCAAAAAAATACTTAAAGCCCTTGAATAGATGAGCAAGCAGTGTGACTTTGGTTTTATTTGATACAGTGTTAATTTTAGCTTACAGTAAGACTGCTAAAGTTCATCTACAGGTTAGCTAAGAGTTCTAACACAGGTGTAATTAAAGATACAATTGTACTTCCTTTGCCAAGTACTCTGCATATAGAATCACTTGTGAATTATGCAACTGGTCTTGCAATTGGATCATGGAATGTACTTTTGATATTGACCTTATGGCAAATTCAATAAGCATCTTCTTATGTAAAAGAGGGTTAAAAACGTGCACGCTTTCATAAGGCATACTACTTTAAGCTTTTTTTGTTTCTCTCTCCTTCCCATTGTATATAATGGAACTTTCAAATGTTTCTTATTGCAATTTGTTTCTATTCATAATCATATGAATGATAAGTTGTAATCATCTGGTCACTGTACTCAACTCTAAAAGGTTACCTTTTCTGCAATGTGTGTTTACTTATGCTAAAAGTCATTACAGTAATTTTCTTAATGAAAGAAAGACAATGTAGCTTTGCTACAAACCTGAAGTGAGGGCTGTGGTCTAGAGTATGGACACTAGATTTCACTGCTATGTTTAAATTGGGCAAAACAATAAAATTAAACTTAATTTTGCTTACACTTTCAGAAAACATTTATGCCTTCCTCTGATGACGTTCTGATATCATTCCTGCCCTTGGCTCATATGTTTGAGCGAATTGTTGAGGTAAGCATCTCTGTTGTTCTGAACTACTGAGAAGCTTGCTCTTCTGACAGAGTGCATGTCTCTTGAATCCTAGTGATACACACTACTCCTTTTTGACTTTTGCACATGTGTATAAAAGTTTGAAGTAAGGTTTGGGTAAACAATAGCCAGTGAGTACTAGACAATTTGTTTCATGCTGAACTATAAACATTAACCTTTGAGCTAGGGTTAATAAGAAACTTGTTTTCTAGAATGTGAGACATTCCTTTAGCACACAAATACTGCCTAGAAATTCTAATATAATCAGTGCACTATTAAAAATCCATGGAATCTTCTAGTCTGCAAATTTTGAAATTTATTTTAGAATATGGCATCCTGTTTGTAATCCTGTAATCTAAAGTTTGATTAATTTACCATTGCTTCCAGGAAACTTCAATAAGAAGAAAAGGATTATGTTTGAGTAGAGTTCTCTTCCAGGAATTGAAAATGGCTCTTAATGCCATTTAATGACAAATTTTGAAGTTCTTCTGGACAGCTTGCTTTACCATATAGCAAAACCTGGGACTCCATTTGTGAGGTTGAGGGGGCTCATATTGTTTTAATACTGGCAGTCTTAAGGACCTCTGAGCCCACAGTCTGGTGTGCATTACTGAAAGAATGCAGTTTCCTCAAACTTCTTATGTACAGTAGAAGCAGAGGTATTTAATTACTGTGCTTATTGAAACAGAATCAAGACCTGTCCCTTAGGTGAGATGAAACAGACTGTGCAAGTGTGAAAAGGCATGTGGAGCCAGAAATTGTCCCATGATTTCAGTCAGGAATCCTGAACTTTCTACCAAAAGTGTGTGTATATATACACATATTAATATGTATAGATGCATATGTGTGTGTAGGTATGTTATGAAGACTAGGAATTGAGCCTAACTGATGTATACAGGTGCCTGTAAGCTTTCAGCACTTTCTCCTGCTAACCTGGGCACCAGATATACTCCTGTGTCTGTTTTACTGATGCCTGTCTTACAACAGAAGGTACAAGGTCTGTAGGTAACAGCTCTGCTCTCAATCATGCAGTGGAAACAGGATGGGAACTTGTGTTTTGAAAGATAAAATGAGAAGAAAGCATTTGGATCTCAGTATTCCTCTGCTGTTTGAGGTGTTTACAAAGTAGGTGATTACTTGTATATTCACATAAGGAGATTAAGCAAGAACACTTTTGGTAGGAAGTAGAGAAGATTTGTTGCTGTTTGGGGTAGGTATGAATGCAGGCTCCACAAGAAGCAGTCCTTAGAGCACTACCTCTAAGTTGATGTTTGCTGGGTTTTGGCTTCCTAGGAAAAATAGAGGGTCAGTGAACTTGACAGGACAAATGTGTTGTCATGTAGCAAAGGTAGTTGCTGCTCAGTCCATCTGGACTGATGCATTTTCTGCTTCAGCAGATGGTGGCAAAGCACAGGTGAAAGGGGAAGTGACACTTCAGCATGTCTTGTGCAGAGAAGATGGGAGTGGATGGCAGGTGATGAAGGAACAGATGTAACAGAGGAAGCAGAAGAAATACAAACAAGTAGCTATAGATAAACACAGGAAGAGTAAAGATGTTAAAAAGAAATTAAACCCAAACAAAATAGGAGGAAAAGGAGGCATACTGGTGGTGGGGGTGAAGCCTCTAGACTCTTAAAAGAATATAGAGCACAATAGGATTAAGTTTGCTGCCTTTGGGGTAGGTCTAAAGTGATGTAGAAATGAGCAGTGGCTCTCCTAGAATCTTCTAAAGAGCATTTTGATCACCTAACAACAAATCCTCTGCTCACGTCAGTCCTTCGAAATGGGAAGGAAAGCCACAGTGCAAGAGAATGAAAATCAAATAGCATAAGGCAGGAATCTCTACTGGCTCTGTAAATAGCATGTGCTGACTTTAAATGCAGAATTTCTTAGTATACAGGGAACAAAGGTCTAGTACTTCTGAATAAGCTTGTAAAATATTTGAAATGAAGCTCTGCTTTTTAATCTTGCTACCTCTGAGTCGATGGCATTGCCTTTATTTGGCTAACTGCTGTTCTTAGTTTAGGGGCTTTTGTGCTACATCTTAATTCTATCACAGTCATTGGCCAGTGTATGCTAGTCATGTCTTGCTACTTGGTCTTTCTAGTCCTATCCTATAGTCTGAGAACGCTGCAGAACTAATCCAGAAGCTTGAGAGGATTTAAGATGGATCCTCTACAGTCCACTCTGCATAGGACGCTTCCACATGTAGAGCTAGAACACATCATGCATCTGGGATTTTCAGAGTGTTTACTTTTTTTATCAGTGTGTGATTCTGTGCCATGGAGCTCGGATAGGATTCTTTCAAGGGGATATCAGATTGCTTATGGATGACCTAAAAATGCTGCAGCCAACTGTATTTCCTGTAGTACCAAGGCTGTTGAACAGAATGTTTGACAAGGTAAGTCTACACACGAGTCTAGACCTGTGCAGGGTTTTAAGAGAGCTCATGAAGCCTGTGCTGCCAGGGTAGGAGTAACTTGTGCTCTGGGGTGTCAAACTGGCATGCAAAAAAAGATTGTATCTAAGCACTTAAACCACCAAGAGTAATTCTGCTTGTATTAAATCACTTTCAGGCAGCAAATACTAGTGTAGAGAAGCCTGAGTAGGCTTTATTAATGACTTAAGGTTTTGCCCTGAGCAAGTTATTTAAGTCCAGCGTACAGTGTGCACATGAGGCTGAGCATCTGCATGCCACGCTTTTAGCATCTGACTCATGGAGTGGAATGTGCAAACCAAGGTCAGGTGTTGGCCTGTGTTTGTGGCCTCATGAGAGTTTCCTACACGGCAGCCAGTGTTCTAGCAGGGAGAGCTCTGAACCAGCCAGTCAGGGGTGCTGGGGAGAGGGTGTGTCAGCAGCCCCAGTCTCTCCTGTCCTCGCTGCTTCTCTGCTCAGGGTCATCTGAGATAGGAATTCAGAAGTAGATTCTCCTTCTTGGAATTCAGATTTTAAATCATCCTTTTTCATATGGGATGACTAACTCTTTTTAGGATATAGCCAGAAGAGTGGCAGGATATAATAAGTCTTGTGACTGCTAAAGAAATGGCAGAACTGTCTGTACTAGCTATGTGACAGTACAGTGCTCTGATCATGAGACTAGAACAACAGTAAGTAATACAAGATTGTTTGGCCCCAGGAAAAAATAGTGCAATTCTGATCTGTTTAGAGGGGAGGAAATCCTGAGACCAGACTGTAGTGTTTAAAATATAGCCCCTCATTCTGCTCGTGCATTCTGCACTGAATTTTGAGAAGCAGAGCTAAAGCTTGAGACATTTCCTTCCATGATGTCCTCTTGCTTGTTAACTCCAGTGCCCTGAAGCTTTCATGCTTCTGTGGCACTGTTTCAACCTCACCCAGCCTTGGGGTAACCTAGCATATGAGGCTAACAAATAGGAAATTGGGGGAGGTGTAGTGCTGAAGAGCTGCTGGGTCTTTCTCTTTCCAAGTGAATATACTAATCTGTGGTTTGCTGTTGAGCCCGCTCTGCAGCTTCCCGAGAACAACTGGAAGGAGCCTTTGAAAAGCAACCTAAAAAGCAAGTTTATGTATGCAAGACATCTCCATTTTGTATTTCTGAGGGGACCTGCATCTCCTCAGAAAACCTTGTATTACTTTACATGTTATGATGGTGTGCTTTTCAGGATATGCTGAGATTGTATTCAACTTCCAGTTTTGATAATACTGGAATAGAAAAGTAAAACATTCATTTTCATTCATTGTAATGAAAAAAACTCTACAATGAAACTGCATCATGCAGTTTGGGAAGCAAGAATTAGGTGCTGATTTTGGACATCTCTTGAACTGAGGCAGAGGCCAAAATCAAAATCCACAAGTACTTCATATAGAATTAAGATGCCTACCAACGAAGGTTGTTTAGTTTACTTTGTTTCCACTGTTAAAAGTGTATGCATGCTTTTGTAAGACAAAGGAAATGGCAGTCTGAGGCTTCTAACCACAGATCATTTTTCGTACCAGATTTTTGGACAGGCAGATACTTCATTAAAGAGGTGGATGCTGGATTTTGCTTCCAAGAGGAAAGAAGCAGAACTCAGAAGTGGTATAGTTAGAAATAACAGTTTGTGGGATAAAGTCATCTTCCGCAAAATACAGGTATGCTTGAAACCCTCTAAGTTGGCAATTGCTGCATTTCATATGAATGGTTATAATCTAGTACAGCTTTCATCACTGATTAAAGACTACCTGGCTACTCAAAAGACAATAAAAAGACTGCTTTGATTTTCAAACTTTTTTTTGTTTCGATTCCTGTTGTTTGAACAATATCGCCTGTGTTAGGGAAGTTGCTATAAAACAGTCTGGTGCTTCTTTCTTATCACTTTGAAAGCAAACACTGTCCCTCTGGAGGAGGAGTGCTAAATGTGACACAGTGCCACTAGCCCCTCCTGCCCCCTTGCTGTTGGTCACTAGTAAGTTATGCCTGCTGTTCCGTGGCACTCACTTGCTGTGGCCTTAGCCTTGGTTGTACAGATTGCCCCTGTGGCTGCTTTTTCAGCACTCAGGATGTAGGAGATGCTGATACCAGGCAGCTAAAAATAAAACCATGATTTAAGCCTTTCAGACTCTTGGCAGAGTCTGCATTGCAGTGACACCATACATCTCTTTGTAGAGACTGTATGTTTGAGATAATGTTTCTTCCTGCCATTAGTGAGATTAAAAACACTGCAGAAAAAACAGCTTGCAATAGGAAGCTAAACTTTAATCTCTAACATTTGTGGGTGACGCTGTATGTGGATAGTGGCTCAGAAGAAGACTTGAAATATATCCAAAATGATTTTGGTGTCCACAGTATCTTGTGTCTGTTGTAGGCAAGTTTGGGAGGTAAAGTGAGGCTGATGGTTACAGGAGCAGCACCTGTATCTGCAAGCGTACTGACCTTCCTGAGGACAGCTCTTGGCTGTCAGGTGAGTTTCCTGGCTTTAATTCTAAAACACAAAGATCTTAATTGTTCCAGCTTTGATGTTAGAGTAGTTCTAGTAGTCTGATTATATGGATAACGTAGGGATAACTCTCTGGCATTCTTCGTGGAGACTACAGAGGTGTGTACTACTTTCCAGAGTTTTCTCTCAGTCCTCGAGATTTCTGTATTCATCCTAAAGTCTTTATTGTAACTGAAGTAACCAGCTGAACTGATTTAAGGGAAAGATTGGAAGGGGAGGAATATAAGCAATAATTGATGTTCTTGGATTAAATTTCTGGGGCTTGGCCTGCTTACAGAAGTATTCAAAGCTACTGTAGAGAATGATATTGTAGTGTTGTTGCTTTGAAGATGAGACTGAGGAGAATCAGATTGCACAATTTGCATTTATCTTCAGACCTTCTGCAATGCATATGCTTTTAGAGGTAAAATCTGAATAACAAGAGCATGGGATGGAACAAATGTGTTGAAATAAATTTCGAGGGTAGAAAACACTGTAAAATGCGAGGCTTCTGTAACAACTTTGTGTTGTTCAGTAGCGTTAGTGTAACAATGCATTCTGCACAGAAAAGGGCAGCCTGTCTTGTGTATAAGCAATCATAGAGCTCTGATGGGGTATGGGATTACATTCCTG